GGCGCGGGGAGCTCACGTGGGGCTGGTGGAGGACCCCTTGGCACATTGACGCGAGGGCATTAGCGCTGGAGGCTGGATAATGGGCGGAGGGGGCTGAGCAGCTGGGAAGCCGGAGCAGCTTGGCCTGTCCATCACAAGCCCAACCATGTGGCAGACCTGGATGCAATTCCTGAGCTGCAGCGTAACGCGCGGTGAAACGTGCCAACCGCCCAGATGCTCCCGTTTGGAAAAAATTGCTTCACAATTTGGAATCTCTGCTCTTTGATCACTCTTTGGAGAGGAGGGGGGAGGCGTGATGCAGTCATATGAGTAACACACCTCCCCGCAGTCAGCGGTTGTTAAAGCCCGTGTGTTGTTAATAAGTGACCTTAGGTGCTGGATGTTCACTACTGAATGCCAGTGTAAATTGTGCTGGCCCTCCCCAGATCCCACTGTTTCCAGTAGGTGCTGTTTTCCTTCTACTCAGCATGAAGTATTTAGGCTCTTCTCAGCAATTTTTTGCTGGAGTTGCTTTTCTGTTGGCCAAAGCTGTTATTACTACATGAGCGCACTTCCCTCTGCCCCCCGCTTTAACACGGGGCCTGAGAGCTCTTCGGAAGTCAGTGGGAATAAGAAGGGCTTTTATTATTATTTTTACTCTTTATTTTGGTTGCAGCCAGCTCTGTTTTGGTGCTTGCTCTGGCACGCTGACAGAAGCTTCTCCATGCAGCACGTCAAACAGCTCTTAACGTGTAATATTTTCACTGCTACCCATTGTCACGCTATGCTTTATTAATTAATTAATCATGCTCTTACACAACCGCTGTAGATAGGGTGCCAGAAAACTGAGTGCCGCTCCTGCCGCCGAATGCGTTCGTCTAATATAAATCACAGCTCTTAGAAATAAACCGTAATTATTTACTCTTGAAAAATTTACTTTTAAAAAATAACAATCCATTTGTGGTTTTAAGTTGTTGGGGTTTTTTTCCTAAATTGCGTTGATCCTGTATTTTAAAATTCAGTGGATTCCAGCTCGCCATGTGTGATCATACCAGAATATTCAGAATGCCCTCATATTTGAAATCATGCCAATATATTTGAAATAACCATTTAAAAGGTTATTTATTTGTATATGCTGCAGTAGTGCTCCCCAGCCCTGATTCCTGGAGCCATGGGTCAGAGCGTAGTCGCATGAGAAGCTGCGCAGAAGAAAGCTGGTTTACAGCCCAGCAACACTTGCAATTTGAGTCTGAAATGCAAGAGAAGAGACAGAGGACCAAGGAAATAATGAGGCAAAGCTGTTTGCAGCGTGAGAGGCTTCTCCAGAAGCTTGGCTGTTGCACATTTTTCACAGGGATCATTGGAAAAGGAAATTATAAGGAGAGGGTTAATTGAGGTTAATCAGATAAATTCCTATATTTCAATTTTGCTATTATTATATTTATCTAGTCCTGCCTCTCCTGTAATACGGGCAGTGAACCTCGCTAAGTAACGTCTGCCTCTGGCCAATAAGCCTACTTGAACCAGAGCATCCCTGTTAGATATTTCGCTTGGTTAAAAAAGACCCCGAGTAATGGCGATTCCACCACATCTGAAAGTTCTGCCGGCTTCTCATTGCTGCAAGGGTTACCAGCCTCTGCCTTGTTTCTCACTGAGCTTTAGCTTTCTGCCTTTTAATGTCCTTTTCTGCAAGATTTAATCTATCAGAAGACTCTTCCCCATGTAGCAACTTGTAGGCTATGACAAAGTCGTGGAAAAACTTCCCTTGGAAAAAGTAAGTAGATGGAGTTTCATTAGTCATTCACTACAAAGGATGTTTTCCAGACCTGAAATCATTCTTGTAACTCTTTTCTGAACACTTTCCAATTTTCCAACATCCTTTCTAAAATGTGGAGACAAGAACTGGAATCAATACTGTAGTAAGAAGCCTGTAGAACTGAATATATGGGTAACGCATCACTTTATTCCTGCTCAGAGCTGCATCTACAACTCCCATACTCACAGCAGTACCCACTCTTAGCACAGCCCTTTTTTTTTTTTCCCCCCCTTTTGGTACTCTCATAACCTTTTTGGGGCTGGGGAAAATCCCCTGAATTTTAATTGTCAGTTAAATTCATCAGTTCCAGAAATGCAATTTTGCCTTCAGGTGCATGTGTTTAGACAAACCCCATCCTGTGTAAGCCATAGCAATAGAATTAGCAAGTCCTTCACTATCGTTTTTCACCCAAAGTGTTTATTTTACCAGAAGTCCTAGTCTTTCCTTCTTTAGAAAAGGTATTCAGCATGGGGTAAAGGGTTCAGTGCCTGGTGCGGAATACTTCCTTGTCGTGACAATCGCCCCTTCGCAAGGCTGCGCACCCCTCCCTGCTGTTCATGTACTCGGCCTCGAGTGAAACGTGAGCACGGACTGAGGGGCAAGATTTGTTGCAGTATGTGAGAGCAGAGCAAACCCGTTCCGTACTGAGAGAGGCTTTCGTGAAGCCTTCGTTTAAGAGTATTTGCTGTTGCCAACTCTTAGGATTTTTACGATGGCATTACACTTTTTGGAGGAGTCTTAAAGCTTCAGCTCTTACCAGTTTGTAATTGGTTGAATATGAAATCTGGTTTTTAAAAGAAAAGCTTTCGTTCCTTGAAATCACTTTTGTTGTATACTAGACTAAAAAAAAAATATTGAATGGCAGATAAAGATGATGCACATCTATATTGCCATCATGGGACGTTTGCAACGGTGTCGTGACTGCGTAAGTCATGACATCGGAGTGACAGTTTCAAGCGCTCCTCGTTCAAACATCAGGGCCCCAGCCTGTGTTTTTGTGTCCACAGGACTCCTGGTGATTTAAGCAGGAGCTGGAAGAGCTGTGGGAGGAGTGATCAACAGGGCGCCAGATGGCCACATGTGTTACTTCTCCAGGTTAAATGTCAGCACATAAATACAACAGATTTTTCTTTCAGTGGGCTTCAAAATCCAAAGGCAGCAGATAAAAAGTTATTCTTATTTTTTAACTCTATAAGCAGTTGTTACGGCAGCTTGAAATGCAAGGTCTGTGCGGTTGACCCTTTTGGCAACGTGACATTTTAAGGAGGATTTTAGTTATGATTTCTTACCTATTTTGTCCATTTCTGAAAGGGGAAGAAAAAGAAAATGTTTTGTCAGTAAAATTGCAATTGCGGTAGCAAAAGGAATAACCATTTTTCAAGAGATTACTGTTGTTGTTATTCACAATAATCCAACTGTTTTATCAGAAATCCCTATTCTTCAGAAATTCCACTGGAGCAGCTGTGGCACGGCTGATGGCTACTACCGTTTGTCCTGTTTAGATGTCTGTCCTGTTACGACTGCAAACCAGCTGTGATGGCAAATTGCTTTTTTTCCTGTTAGCTTAGGACGATTTCTTACAGCTCAGGGTGAACACGCTGCTTAGACGTGCACTAACCATTAACTGCTGACCTCATGCGAAACATGTGTGCCAAACAAGGTGGAATAGCGACGGGATTTCTTTCTGTTATGCAAAATAGGTGACTGTAGGGCTGTTTGTGATACTGTGTGTAAACCTCGGGAGACTTCTCCGCTGATTAATTTACCAAAGCCAGCCTGAAGTAACCTTAGACCTGTGTCTTCTCCATACCACAGACTAGCTCAGTGTGTGCTATTATCAGCGGATTGCCTCAGAATGTTGCACTGCAAATAAGGTCTGTAGACACTAAGTAGAATTAATGAGTTGTTGCCTAGTTAAAAATTAAACAGCAGTTACAAATGACCAAACTATAGTGAAGGCAGGATTATAAATGTTCCATGCTAACTGGTAAATAAACATACCTGTAAACTGGGGGTTTTTTAGAGTCTCAAGGTAGACATGAAAGTATCTGTTACGTTTCTATATGAGGGATGCGACCTGGCAGAGCTGGACTGGCGAGGGAAACGACCGTGGAAGTGTGCTTCCCTTAAAATGCTTGTCTCTGAGTAAGTTAAAAACTGGGGCAATTCGTAGATGTTACGCTGCGGTAGCTGATCAGCTATTTCCACATAAAAAGAAAACCCTGCCCGCTCTCTCCTTGGGCACCAATGATGTCAGCAGAGCTAATGCCTGAATCAACAAATCCAGCTGCGGATATCCCTCGACTTTGCCTGCGTCCGTATTAGTGCTCTTTTAAGTTGAGAGCTTTTGAAAACGGATTCATGATGACAAAGAGCACAGTGGCAGAACAGCTTCAGTGCTGCTGGGGAGGTTGGGTTCAGCATGTGACCTGTGCTGTTGCTTTGTAGCCAAATTACTCACGCTGTGCACAGGACTCGGATTCGGATATAAATAATTAAAGGTAGCGCTGTTCCTCGCTTCATCCTGCGAGTCTCGGTCTCTGCTGCGAGCTCTCAAAGGCAGCTGGGTAGTCACTGAGGCTGCAGGGAGACGCTGAAAGAAGGCGGATAGCTTCAGGAATATTTTCCTGGGGCGGGAGGCGCGGCGCAGCGCGCGCACAGCTCGTGAGGAGCCAGGGAGTTGCGTCCTACAGCTCCGCCAAGTCCCGTGTTCTGCTGAATCAGGGCCGGACGGCTTGGAGTGGTGTCGGGCATCAATTCCCGCCTTGCGCAGCTGTCTGCCTTTGCCGTGAGGATTTTGTTGCTTTAAGAAAGGAAAAGGAGAAGGTGTACTACGGCGGGATGGCTCTGTTGAATTTGAGGCCGCGGGCCGGGTTCCCTCCAGAGGAGTCAGGCTCCTCACAGGTGATGGTTCCCTTTGCTCCAGGGACTCCATCAGCTGTCTGCCAGGCAAGAACGTCACCTGTAGCCCAGAGAAACACTGGGTTGTCTTTTGTCATGCAAATTTTGAAAAAATTGCCACTCCATAAGGTTTTTTCTGCAACGACTAGGCAGGTACCTTCCTGGCAGACTGTAACTGTTGTCACTATAAAACTTCCCCCCCTGACTTATTTCTGAAAAGAGCAGTGAACTAACTACACCTTATTGTACCGACACTGTCAAACGGGAGATAAAATCTTCAACATCTATTACTTTTTCCCAACAGGCTGACTTAAACTGCAACATTCAAGATGATACAGGAGCATTTTATGGAGTCACTAGTCAGTACGAGAGCTCAGAAAACATGACAATCACCTGTTCCACCAAAGTCTGCTCATTTGGAAAGCAAGTCGTAGAAAAAGTAGAGGTGGGTGTTGCGATGGGACGTGTGGGGTGATTCCCTGGTTCCCTTTCATTTTAATTAGGCTTTTCTCTCCCTTGTCTTTACATTGCTCTTCTCCAGCTTTTCCTTCCTCTAACCCTTCCCAAAAGAGTATTTTTCTTCACAGCAGGTTCATTTTAAATCACTGTGTGAATGGTGACACTACAGTAAAATCCTAGTTACCTGTTGCTTCGGAGAGCCTGCTCCACCCTGCCTGCGGCACCCGTCGGTGGGGAACCTGCAGCTGGCATCGGTGCTGCCTCCTCCGTCAGCTGGCAGGAAGGAGCTGAAGCAAGAATGCTTCTGCTCCCGGTGATGAGCAGTGACCCTCGATCATCTAGGTTTCTTAAAGGTTTTAAAGCCATGGATGGTGTGTGACATTCCGTCTATACCCCTCCTTCCTTCATGCACGAAAGGCATGCTCTCCCCAGTCACCAGCAGCATTTGAATACGGAGCTGCGTATTTTCTTAACGTGGAAGGGCCTTTATTTGTTTTTCACCTTTTCTTTTCCAAGCACGGAGCTGTATGGTGTGTTCAGGTAGGTACTTGGTTTATTGTACAATGGAACTGCCCCTGTTTAACCTGTCCTCTGTGTACTAAGCCCCACGCCTACACCTGTGCTCTGCAGTATCGGTTCTGTACAGAAATTTTAACCTAGAGCCACAGGTTGAGACTTTATAGATGTCCTGGTCACTGTTTGTGTCATTCTTACGCTAAATGTTTCTCTGGTGACCATAAAAACGTTTGCCATTATTCCAAGCCTAGAGAAGGCCAAAGAGACCCATAAGCCACTGAGCACCTGACCTGAGTGGTTGGCAGCTGGGTAGCAGGAGTCCGAGGGTCGCAGCCGTACCCTCCTTCAGCCCCTTGTGAGCCCCTGCAGTCTCAGTCAGCCTGGTTTTCTTCTGCCTTAGTCTTGCATCTTTCTGTAAATCATAAATTGCCTATTAAACCAGGTAATAATGCAGCTATGTTTGTAAGTGTGTATTTAGGTGTAAATACATAAGCTTTTGTAGCTGTTCCCTTTGCAGACAGTTGCCCTGGAACTATCGTAATGTCATTTTACCACAAAGTTTTCTACTTAATTAATTTTTACGTGACTTGGACTTACCTTGGTGTAACCCTGATCTTTCCAGGTTTTTAAAACACAGGTTAGAGAACAAGTATTGATCTTCTAACTTTCAATAAACAAGGGCCCTTGAGCAAGGCACTGCATAGCTCAGACAGGGACTTCGCAAGCAGGCGCGTGTGTGTCCGAGAGCCGCTTTCCCTGGTTTTCCGTCTAGACAAGGAAAGCAGGCGAGAGATTTAGTGTTCGCTTTTTGGCTATTTCTGAATTATCTTATCCTAAACAACGCTCTTTGTTTTTTTTCAGACTGAATATGCAAGGTTTGAGAATGGCCGGTTCGTGTACAGAATAAATCGCTCTCCGATGTGTGAATATATGATCAACTTCATACACAAGCTGAAGCATTTACCAGAGAAATACATGATGAACAGCGTGTTGGAAAATTTCACAATTCTATTGGTATGGACCCACTGGGGTTTTTTCCCATTTCTAAAACACTTGTGCTTTCTATAGCTGCTTAACTTTAATGTTTAGAACCAGTTTCCGAATCCCGTGTTGCTTACTAAACAGATCATCCCGCTGAATTCAGAGTAGTACTCTTGGGGCTGTGCGCCGTAGACGCTAAGGATGAAAAGGCTAAGCTGGCTCAGAGCGTGAACAAACATCTTTGGTACTTCCCAGCAAATTCAGCTTACTTCTCCTCTTTTTCATGCGAGTTTCTATGTGGTGTTTGCAGCGAGCCTGAGGCACTAACTTTGAACCATCCCGTTCCTCTGCTGCGTTCGTACCGCGATGCCAGTTACAATGCTGCAGGTGTCAGTGGTGTTAATTAGGCCTTGGGCCAGGAAAGCATGCGGTAACGGGTACACCCAGTAGGTGATTTAAGGCGTGAAGAACGGCCCGCACCGTGGCCGTTAAGCCAGTTTCACGCGGCTGCCCAGCTTGGCTGCCCAGCTTGCTTTCACGGT